ACCACTAATGTTGTTTGTCTAGTATTTGTGTTTTCTTATTTATTATAGACAAACAACGTAGTTGGAGGATGGATGGAATCGAGCCTTAACGATCATATCAAATGGAGGTTGGCGGAATTATGGAGTGAAGCAACGTCAACTCAAGTTAAAGATCCAATTACAAGCTTCTTCCGCAAAGTTTACCAAGTCATGCTCAATGAAAATCAAGATCAAGCTTGGGTAACTAGTTTAGGATTTATATTATGTGTGTTAAGTACTCTAAGCTCAATTATCTATACACACATATTTATTAGTTTCTTCGTATATATATATATATATATATATAGTTATATATATAGTTATATATATACATAAGGTTTGGTTTTTTCATTTTATTAATTAGAAATACAATTATTATATTTACTATTGTGTTTTTGAAAACATCGCATAGAATATGCAATTTTATGAAAATTCTATATTCTTAGTTTTTGGTCTTAACAATTATCATATACATATTTTATTAAGTCTACATAATCATTGTGCAAAGTTTTAAAAGTTGGTTTAGGTCAAAACATCAAACTCATGTGTTTACATTTTCGTGTTTTGGACTATTTTGTAAAATGATGATATTTTTTATTTGGGAAGTCCTTTTTAGAAACCAGTCGTTGTAGCATGTTTATTATCATGTCTACAATCATTCCCCAAAGTTTTACATTTTTTGGAATTTATTTGATATTTTTAAACAGTGTTTTAAAATCAGAAAAACTGTTTTCAGAACTTCATTTTCATGTATCAGTCCTCGGTCGACCGCATCGGTCGACCGCACCTGTGTTCTTTCGTCAGTGGGCAGTAGAGAGTTTGTCGGTCGACTGCCGCGGTCGACCGAGAGCTCGAGACTTCCCACGATCGACCGTACCGGTCGACCGAAGAAGTCTCTGCTCGTTTTCTCAGTTTGGGATCTGGATCGCGGTCGACCGCAAATTTTTTTGGTCGACCGCCGCTCTGTCTTTTTAGTTCCAACGGCTATTTTTTCCAGCTGTTTTCTGATGGCTTTTTGGTCTTTTGTTTGGGGTTTTTGGCTGAGGTTCTTGGAGGCTATAAATACCCCATTGATCTCAGTTCTCAAAAATAAACTCAAACTCTAGCTTTACATTTATATACTTGTTTGATTATCATTGCTCTTAAGCTAGATTTTATATTTGAGTTTAGTTGATTTGATTTTATTTACTCATTGTTACACACACCCACTTTGAGCTTATTGTATTTGCATTCATAATATACTTAGGGTTGTGAGAGTTGTAACATTGAGTGTGAGCTTTCATTGTGTTCTCATCCATAGTAAAGAACAAACAATTATTGTATTGAGCCTAATTGTGAGATCACCTTGTAATACACTTGTACACTGAGAGGAGTGTGTGGTGAGAGTCGGGGATCGTTCCAAGAGGAGTGGCGTCGGTTGACGAACCTAGGGAGATGTTGTAACCGAGCACTTGAGGGAGACACGGCTAGGTCCAACACTTGTGAGGGTGTAGAGTGTGATTGTAAGAGTGTCGATTGTAAAGTTTTCGGTTAGCTAGAAAACCGAGTGTGAGGTGTAAACGTTATTCGGGTGAACGTAGAAAACCCGGTTGTGATGGTGGATTTCTCCCCGGGAGTGGGGAGCGGAGACGTAGGACGGAAGGTCCGAACTCCGTGATCATATTGCTTGTTTGAGTTTGGCTTAGCACTTATATTTGTTCATCTTTATAGCATTTCTCTCATTGTTTATTTCATCCACTATTTCATTTGTTTATGTTACCTTTGTGTTTGCATATCCTTACATATATCATATTGTATATCTCTTTGGTAGGATATATCATCTTGTGCTAGTTTATATATCCTTGCATATAATTTTATCATATAGGATATATTCTTTTTATTCATATTGCTTATTCTTGCTTATAACTCTTGTATATCTATCTTGCAAGATTATATTTGTTAATTAGTTTTAATTGGCATTTAATCAGATTAGATTAGCATAAGACCCTAATCACCCCCCATATATTCTTTTTATTCATATTGCTTATTCTTGCTTATAACTCTTGTATATCTATCTTGCAAGATTATATTTGTTAATTAGTTTTAATTGGCATTTAATCAGATTAGATTAGCATAAGACCCTAATCACCCCCCCCCCCCCTCTAGGGTCCAACAGTTTTGAATATTAATTAAGTTTTATTGTTGCACATATTATTTGGATGTCTTTTATGTAATTGTTATATTATCCTTAGAAAATTGTTTTGTTAGATCATGCACTGTGATAGTCTCTTGCTTAGAGATATGATCTAATTCAGAGGTTTCTTAAGTTTGTGTTTAACTTATAACTAGTAAATGATGACTTTGTTATAACAGGTTATTATGTATGATACTGATATGTGAGATATGGTGGTTGGTCTTAGCTACCGGGAATGAAAATTCCTCAGGTGTATGCCATAAGCGCATATTGTGATATACGTAACACAAGACCACATTTGAATTCTTTAGGACGAGTCACCTAAGAGATAGATAATTTGAATTGTTACGTGGTCCCTTAGACTTGATGATATTGTTATTTTCGATTTGATAATTTAGTATGTGTTGATATGATGGTTATGTGAACGTGGGGTATGTGGGGGCCGCACACACCCACGAGGGTGTCTTGGGTGCACGCGTGGAGGCAAAGGGTAGAGCCCAGTGCGGCCCACTTCATGCTCTCCTATAAATACCCATGCTAGGGTATTTTTTTGGAGGATGCGGGGAAAACACAGAGAAAAAAAAGAGTTTTTCAGTTGCAAAAAAAAGAGTTTAGGAGAATTAGATCTGAGGGAAAACTTAGATCTTAAGGAGAGTTTTTTACAAGAGAGATGTCAATTTCTTCTTGGGTAAAAATCAAATCTTCTTCTTTGAGACGAGCTTGTGGATTGTACAAGTCGTCGGTGTTCTCCTTCATAGTGAAATCTCCCCTCACCCCCTCCCATAGACGTAGGCAAGTTTGCCGAACCACGTAAATCTCGTGTCTTTACTGTTTTTTGGGTGTTGGCTATTGCTTGCAGGTTCACTCGACAAGTCAGTCCTAGAATTGATGAGAGGAAGATTGTATATTTCACTTTGTTAAGATATTTCGCTTTCTATTCTTGTTTCCTTTGTGAAACAAGAATATAGAGGTTGACTTGAGCTTTTGTGAAAATAAAAGTCAGGGCTTTCTCTCAGGTTATATCGCTTCCGCAACGTGAAGGCATGACTCTGCGCTCAACAAGTTAAGCTTGATTTACAAGTGCTATACAACCTGAAATGTTGGGTGTTGATGTCAGTTATCAAATAGTGGGTTTATGTTAGAGTTATGAGAATGATTAGGATCCTCAAACTCCTTTAGATGACTGGTTCCAGAGTCTGGTGTTCTTTCTTGCACATGAAAAACTCATGAGAGGGCGGAATTGGGTTCTTCGGTTGTTCCTTCGATGATCAAGTCAGTATTTGTATCTTGAGTGGGAAAATTCGGGATAAATTGTATAAGTGGTTATTCAAAGTTGCCAAAAACTAGAAGAAGTTATCTCGTGCAGCGTAGTTCTCTTTTATAGCAGATCAGAGGGGTATGAAAGTAACTTCGACTGAGTCCAATCAGGCTGCTAAGTCAGCAAATACCTTCCAGATGTCGGCCGTAGAAGAAAGTGAGTCATCTGGTCATTTAATGAGGGAATGGCAGCAAGTGCTTGGAGCTGATTGGGTCTAATGAGTCAAAAAGACTATGGAGGCTAGAGTAATGATGATTTTGTCAAAGCAGTTAATGAGAGAGTAGTCGGTTAGTGAGGGGTTTGAGGTAATTGTCTCCTCTCTTTTTGTTTGGTCAAGAGTCGAGAAGCACTACCTTTTGACTCGGCTATACAAGTTGTCAGCTGACACAATAGCTCGAGTGAGGGTAGCTCGTAGGGTCGATCGGGTATGGTGGCCGACAAGTACTGCATTTTAACTCGAATACGCAAATTGTCGGTCCATGGGATCGGCCGAGTGTGGTGGGCGACATGTACCGTCTTTTGACTCAGGTACGCAAGTTGTTAGCCCATAGGGTCAACCATGGGAGTAGTTTTGAGTCGTCTTGTCCTCAATTCGTCTGATTAGGCAAAGGGTGAAACACGTGTTGGTTTCTTTAGGGAGATTAGCACTTGTTGATTTTTTTATGCTATAACATTGGGTTACTAGATTTTGTTTAAGGAAATGATGGGTATCTAGATAGGATCCAATATACTTGTTTTGATGAGTTAATCTGTTATGCATATCCCATGAAGATATTAAATTCTCGTCGACAGGTGGTTTTGAAAATTCTTTTTTTATATATTTTCTTATAAAATAAAATATTTTGGTGTTTCATAATGATTTTTATTTATGTTCATGGGGATTGCAATTTTAGGCATGAGCAAATAGGTAATTTGTCCTGATCAGTAAAATTGCCTAAAATAAATCGATACTGGAGAGGAATGAATGTAAGGTAATATTATTCATGAATATTTAACCACATATTACGAAAGAGTTTTTATGAATAGTTGGTCGGATAGAGATTTGATTGTTAAATTAAAATTATTAATTTAATTAATAATTGGTTCTCGATATGGGGCCCAATTTATCTCACTAATATCAATAAAAGAGGTTTATATACAATATAATTCTATTTCTATCCTTAATTGTTATGGAAAGAATATTCTATCTTTAAATGTTATGGATAGAGTTTTAAGTGATTGAGAATTGTTTTGAAATTAAAATCTATAAGGCAAGTCCAATCTTATATATAAGGTTCTTATATAGCCTTATGAAGGCCAAGAAATAAAGAAATAGAAATTTGAGAACCTATCTCTCAGTATAGCTACTCTTCAGTGACGGGTGGATTTTAGTTGGAGGTTTTTTTCTCTTGAGTAAGCTATTTTCAAATTGATCTTAGGACAGATTTTAGAAGATGTTCAGAAAACGTTTCAAGTATTCTTCTAAATATTAATTAATTTCGATTAATCTACATGATATGCAAATTCCGCTGTGTTGTATGTCATGTTTCCAATAGGGCCCTCCAAAGTGGCCTTCAGGCTGGGGGAGTTCTATTACTGGATGGCTCGTGGGCATCGATAAATGCATTAGGTAGGTCGAGATACATGCACATCATGGAGGCGTGTCTCCGTCCTGGCAGAGCCCCTCCAAAGCTCAAATTAGTCGACTATCGCTAAAAATTTGTCGAACTACGATGTAAAAAAAAGGCTTTGAACTTATAAATCAGTGAATAGGAGAATATTCTGTGACAAGGCGATGAAATTCCCACAAAGAGTCTAGTATTGAGCGGTGATAGGGCGTCTACTGTTAAGGATCTTGCATGGGTTGTGGGTTGCATTTGTTTTAGATGGAGTGATGGGATGTATTAGGACCTAGTTTCAAATAAATGTGAAGAGTTGGGTGCGTTTGACAACTCGATCTTCAGAATGGAGTGAGGTTCTTATTTTGAGAAAAAAACACGTTTGTGTGGAATTAGGCCGCGATTGGCCCGGTTTTTCTAAGGTTAAATTTGACATTAAGGGTGTGTTTGGCAACAAGTTAAAATCGGGTCATGACTGAACCCGGTCCAATTTTAATTTAATTTCTTGTTTGTCAAAATTTCAAGCCAGAACTGGCTTAATTTTTTTAGCCTAAATAGTGTCACTAAGCCAATTTTCTTTTGGACCAAGGACGGTCCGGTCTTAAAAAAACGGGTTTAGTACAAAACTGAGTCAGGACTGGTCTTGGCTTAATTTTGATCACTTTGCCAAACACACCTTTAAATGCGTTTTGTTTTGAACAACCTTCTCTTTGATCCAAAATAAAAACACTTTTGTTTAAAACAGGTGAAGGATTAGTCCGGACGCACCTTTACGGTTCTGATTGATAAACACGAAGGTATGAGGTGTCACGTAGACTTAAAAAAGATGCGAGGGTCTAATCTGATAAAAACACACAACACTTTTAAAATAGAGAGCGACGGTATTCCAGGGATACAGGCGAAAGGCTGATCTGTAGGCCTTTATTAAATTTTTTTAATTTTCAATTAAAACATGCTTAGATGTCGAAAAAAGCTACACTCTAAGATGATGGGGCTCAAATGTCAAAAAAGTGTTCTCAGATCCAAAGTTTAAACAACCGTAGAAAGAAAGAAAAAGAACTTTGTGGACCCACACCGATATGTGACAAAAGTTTAATCATTTTCTTGATCTCCATATATACGTGTGCATTGTGCATTATGTTACTCAACTCTCATGTGGAGATAATCCTTGAATCACCCAAACACCAAGAGACTATGTCCGAGCTAAGTTACCGTCCCCCTCTCCAAGTCAATATATAGATCGATCATGTCTCTGTGATTTTCTAATAGTATGTAAACTTGATTAATTTGTCAGTTTGAAGGGCAAGGTGGCCATCATCACCGGCGGCGCCAGCGATCGCGAGGCATCGGCCAGACGTCGTTCGCTGCCGAACGGCGCCACTGTTGTCATCGCGGACATCCAAATGTACCTGGGCTCGCAGTCGCGGCAGTCAATCGGGTCACACGAAGAGTTAGCCTACGTCAATTGTGACGTGACAGCTTGAGAAACAGGTGGAGGATACGCTAGGCTATCCCGGGCGGCCTACGGTCGCCTCGACGTCATGGTACAGCCGCGGCTGCTGGGCTCCCGCAGACGCCATCGCGACCTGGAGATCCGCGACTGAACAGGATCATGGCGGCAAACGGTAGCGCCGGCGGCGGCATCAAGCATGAGGCAACGGCCATGACGACCCAGGCGTGCGCGGGTCATCGTGTGCACCGCCAGTGTGGGCGGGCCCAACACGCTGGCATGGCCGGGCAGCCCTACACTGCTTCTAAGCACGCGCTGTTGTGGCTTGTTCGGTCCGCGGCGGGTGGTACGGGCCTCCGGAGGTACTAGTCAACTGTGTATCCCCTAATGGTTATGGGTACGCGTTGCCTGCGGCGGCTAATGGAGTTGTCCGCAGGCGGTGGAAGACGCAACTTGCGCCCTGGCGAATTTGAAGGGGGTGGCCCTGAAAGCGAGCCATATCGCCGAGGCCGCGTTGTTTCTGGCGTCAGAACGGTCGGAGTTCATCAGCGGACATGACCTCGTTGTTGATGGTGCAAAGACCACGTTCGATTCGAGTGGGTCAAAAATGAAACGGAACTAATTAAGGGTGGTTTTTATTCAATTAAGTGACATGCACACACTTACGGCAGGGTGCAATTTGCGAAGAGTTTGAATTTATCGTGTGTTATATGCTAATGCAATAAACTGTAATAACGCATCTTCCAGAACTTTCAATGTTGGCTCTCTGCCCAAGTCAACTCCGCACCTCAAAGGAAAGAAATAATTTATTTTTTTTAAATATTAAGATAACTATTTATTTGCATGCATGTGCTGCGTAAATCCTAATTAATTTAATTTCTTGCTGCTTCATCATCCAGCAAGTCAAATATGAGATATCATCACTTGCGTGATCATGTATAAAACAAGCTGTATAATATTCACCGTTTATATATCGTGTGACTGGATCGGGGACATGATATCTTAATTTCTTGTTAGGAAATATCAGATACGCTCTGATTCCCGTTGTTGGGGATTCAAGCTACCAAACGTTGGTACAACTGCTTCTTAGCTATTCGACCCACACCGATATTATCTAATTCAGAGGTTTCTTAAGTTTGTGCTTAACCTATAACTAGTAAATGATGACTTTGTTATAACAGGTTGTTACGCATGACACTGATATGTGAGATATGGTGGTTGGTCTTAGTTATCGGAAATTAAAATTCCCTGGGTGTATGTCATAAGCGCATGATATGCGTAGCACAAGACCACATTTGGATTCTCTAGGACGAGTCACCTAAGAGATAGAGAATTCAAATTGTTACGTGGTCCCTTGGACTTGATGATATTGTCATTTTTGATTTGATAATTTACTATGCTTTGATATGATGGTTAAGCTTGCTTTACAAGTGTTATACAACCTGAAATATTGGGTGTTGATGTCAATTATCAAATAGTGGGTTTATGTTAGAGTTATGAGAATGATTAGGATCCTCAAACTCCTTCAGATGACTGGTTCCAGAGCACGATGTTCTTTCCTACACATGAAAAACTCGTGAGAGGGTGGATGGGTTCTTTGGTTATTCCTCCGATGATCAAATCAGTATTTTGATCTTGAGTGGGAAAATTAGGGATAAATTGTATAAGTGGTTATTCAAAGTTGCCAAAAACTAGAAGAAGTTATCCCGTGCAGCGTAGTTCTCTTTTATAGCAGATCAGAGGGGTATGAAGGTAACTTCGGTCGAGTCCCATCTGGCTGCTTAGTCAGCAGATACCTTTCAAATGTCGGCCATGGAAGAAAGTGAGTCATTTGGTCATTTAATGTGGGAATGGCAGTAGGTGCTTGGAGCTGACTAGGTCCGATGGGTCATAAAGATTATGAGGTTTAGAGTAATGATGATTTTTTCAGAGTAATTAATGAGAGAGTAGTCGGCTAGTGAGCGGTTCGAGGTAACTGCCTCCTCTCTTTTTATTTGGTCAAGGGTCGAGAAGCACCGCCTTTTGACTCAGCTATGCAAGTTGTCGACTGATATATTAGGTCGAGGGCGGGTTGCTGGTAGGGTCGATCGGGTGTGGTGGCCGGCAAGTACTGCCTTTTAACTCGGTTACGCAAATTGTCGGCCCATAGGATTGGTCGAGTGTGGTGGCTGACAGGTACCGTTTTTTGACTCAGGTACGCAAGTTGTCGACCCATAGGGTCAGCCATGTGAGTAGTTTTGAGTCGTCTTGGCCTCAATTCGTCTGATTAGGCTGTTAGCCTTCTTGTTTTGATAATAATTTATAAACAATTTATATCTAATATTGTTTGTCTAGTGTTTGTGTTTTATATTTATTCTAGGCAAACAATATATTAGAGGATGGATGGAATTGCGCTTCAATGATCATATCCAATGGAGGTTGGCGGAATTGTGGAGTGAAGCCATACAATTCAAGTTGAAAATCCAAGTTCAAGCTTCATCCGTAAGATTACCAAGAAGAGCATATTGAAGATCAAGATCATAGCTTGGGTAATTTAGTTTTAGGTTTATATTATGTGTGTTAGTACTTTAAGCTCAATCATATACACACATACACGTTTTTAGTTTCGTATATATATAGTTATATGTATACATATATGTTTTGGTTTGATAGTTTTTAAGTTTTAATATGAAACAATTGAATATAATTAGAAAACATATTTTTGTTTCGTACTTACATGCATATATATGATTTCATCAATATCAATTTTATTTAGTTCAATGAAATCATATTTTAGTGCATTATATGTGTATTTTGATAAAATACTATATTCATTGTTTATAAACTTCATAACAATATTTTACATCTTTCTTCAAGTCTATAAAATTATTTTGTATTGTCTCAAAACATGGTTAAGCTAAAATATCAAAACTCATATGTTCACATTTTCATGTTTTGGACTATTTTGTAAAATAATGATATTTTTCATTTGGGAGGTTTTTTTTTAAAACCAGTCTTTGTAGCATGTTTATTGTCATGTCTATAATCATTCCCCAAAGTTTTATATTTTTTGGAATTTATTTGATATTTTTAAACAGTGTTTTAAAATTAGAAAATTAACTTTCAAACCTGTTTTCTCATATGTCAGTTTACGGTCGACTGCCACGGTCGACCGCGTCTTTGTTTTTAACATGCGGAGCCAATAGCAACTTTGGCAGTCAACCACCATGATCGACCGTCAGCTTGAAAATTCCTACGGTTGACCGTCACGGTCAACCGTCAAAGTTTCTGGAATTTTCTGAGCCTCGAAAGTGGCTTGCGGTCGACCGCGAGATTTTCATGGTCGATCGCCGTTCACTCCAACGGTCATTTTGTACAGAATCTGATTTTCGATTCTGTTGGTTTTTTGGTCATTTCTGTTGGGTTTTTGGCTGAGGTTTTGGGAGGCTATAAATACCCCATTGATCTCAGTTCTCATAGCAATCCAAGAAGTTTTTAAACAAGAGTTTAAGTTTGTTTAGTGTTTGTTTAAAAGAGTTTTGTTTGTGAAGAAGTTTTACACAAGTGGAGGAGATCATCGATATTCCTTAGGCTTCATTTTAATCCATCTCTCCATCTTGTTTTTCAGAGAAGAATTTCTAAACTCAATACTAGCTTTGTATTAATTCTTTGTTTTTTATCATTTTCATTAAGCTAGTATTTTCAATTGAGTTTAGTTGATTTGATTTCACTCATTATTTACACACACCCACTTGAGCATATTGTATTTGCATACATTATATATTTGGGTTGGTGAGAGTTGTAACAATTGGGTGTGAGCTTTCATTGTGTTCTCATCCATATTAGAGAACAATCATTTATTGTATTTGTGTTTATTGTGAGATTCACTTTGTAATATACTTGTACACCAAGAGAAGTATGTGGCGAGAGTCGGGGATCGTCCCAAGAGGAGTGGCGTCAGTTGACGAACCTAGGAAGAGGTTGTATCCGAGCACTTGAGGGAGACACGTCTAGGTCTAACACTTAAGAGGGTGTAGAGTGGGATTGTAAGAGTGGTGATTGTAAAGTTTTCGGTTAGCTAGAATACCGAGTGTGAGGTGTAAACGTTGTTCGGGTAAGCGTAGAAAACCCGGTTGTGTTAGTGGATTTCTCCTCGGGAGTGGGGAGCGGAGACGTAGGATGGAAGGTCCGAACTCCGTTAGTGGATTTCTCCTCGGGAGTGGGGAGCGGAGACGTAGGATGGAAGGTCCGAACTCCGTGATCATTTGATTGTGTTTGTGTGTGCTTTGGCGTTCATTTATATTTGTGCTCAATTATCATATCGTCATTGTCTCATTAGTTAGTTTGTCCACTTCTTTGTTTACATTATTTACCATTATGTTGTTTATATATTCTTGCTCATGTATTTGTAATATCCCATTGCTAGGATATATTCATTAGTTCATATTGCCTATCCTAGCTCATGTATCTTGTTGTATTTTATACTTGCTAGGATAACTTGTTAATTAGTTTTAATTGACATAAAATCAGATTAGATTAGCATAAGACCCTAATCACCCCCCCTAGGGTCTAACAATTGGTATCAGAGCTTGGTGCTCTTTGATTTAAGGACTAATCGCCTTGAGTTAAAAATCCAAGTTATCGTTTTTGTGCTAATCTAGTTATGATTGCATTTGTCTTGCTTGTATATATTCACATGTATATCATGAATATAAATGTATTTCGTTTAGGCTATAATCCAAATATTGCTCCAAAATATAGAATTTTCCCTTATGCTCAATGGTGCTCTAAATTTAAAATATTTGTTGAATCTAGAAATATTGACTTATGGGAAGTTATTGATTGTGCTTATATTGTGCCCACATTGGAGAAATCCAAGTGGAGTAATCATGATAAAAAAATGTTTACAATGAACAAGTTAATGTTAGAACTCTTACATAATGCTTTTGAACAATGTATTTCTAACGAACTTGCTCATTTTGATAGTGCTTACACGATTTGGAAACTTTTTGAAGCACATCAAGGAGATTTGGAGGAGATTCGACGTGTTGTGGTGGAATCGACTTCAAGTAATAGTGGAGCATCATGCACACGGCCACAAGAGGATAACTCTTGTGTAGTAAGTGATTCCAATTCTGAAAATGATTTATCTATTGATGAACTCGCTTGTGCATATGAGAGATTGTCTCATGCCTATACAAAATTGCAAAATAATTTTATAGATATAAAAAGCAAGCATGTAGATTTGAAATCCGATCATGAGATACTAGTTTCCAAATTTGATGTCATTGCAATGTAGATTTGAAATCCGATCATGAGATACTAGTTTCCAAATTTGATGTCATTGCAAAAGAAAATACTATGCTTAAAGAGAACAATGACACATGAGATACTAGTTTCCAAATTTGATGTCATTGCAAAAGAAAATACTATGCTTAAAGAGAACAATGACATGTTAATTTTGGGAAATGAAAAATTGACCTTATCCATATGTAGCTTATCTCATGCTGAAGATAATGTCATGTTAGAAGTAGAAACTATTAGAAATGAGCTTAATTCTTTTAGAAATGATCATGTTTTATCTACTTCTATTTCCAATACATGTATGCAAAATGATGAGTTGAGTCAAGTTAAACATCGCATATCTTGTTTAGATTCAACCTTGAAAACATGTATAGTAAATCATGATAAGCTTATGAACATGTGTGCTAAGTCTCATGCTACTACACCTAAATATATCACACATCATGCACACATGTATAGCAAAATTCACAAGTGTTCCATTTGCGGCCGAAAAGGCCATTTAGCTAATTTTTGCTATGATGCACACAAGCCTAAGAATGTTAATGCTCCTTGTGCATCTCATGTAGCTTCATCATCATGTGCACTTACACATTCACATGCTCATTCTCACAAAGTTCATCATAAGCATGCTAGTGTGTTCAAGTGTGATCATTGTGGTCATTTTGGTCATTTAGCCAAGTATTGTTTTGATTTAAAAAGAAAATCTTATTTGCCAAATATTTCTAGTAGACCACATGTTTTTAAATATGATGTTTGTGATAGATATGGCCACTTAGGAAAGTTTTATTTTAATAATGTTTCACATTTGCAAAATAATCCTAAAAGATCATCTATGTTTGCAAATGTTTCCCGTGCACGAGCTAATGGTCCACAAAAATAAATGGATCTCTTTCATTGCACAAACTGCAATCGGAAGGGTCATTCGAGTGATTATTGTTTTGACCGTGTTAGTGCACCACATGTGTCCAAACGGGTTCATAACCCTAGGACTTTGAGCTTAAATAATAGGAGTCATGACCCTAAACATTTTGGTACCAAGAATACTTGGGTACCAAAATAAATTTGATTTTAAACCAATAACTTTAGTGATTTTTATTTTTCTTTGTCTTGGTTTTGAAAATTATGCTTTGAAATCTTTGAATATGAAAACAATTTTCTTTGATTAATTATTTTGTTTTCATGACTATTAGTTTCGATTTTAAATGAGAGGTTTGTGTTTATATAACCATCCGGGTTTATTGGGTGTTTATTCCCAAATCTTGTTTACCGGGTGCTAAAAATATTTATATGGGTTGATACTAACTCAAGAGCTAGATATAGTTGTCTCTCTTGATTTTTGAAAATCAATGATGATTTAGCTTTATACTTTTAAAGATGATTTTTTCCATAGTTCATGATTCTTGTATGTCTTGTAATCTTATTTTTGAACTATGAAAATTTTGTTTTGATTTGTTCTTTTGAATTCATTATATAGCACAAAAAATTTCAAATATGCTTTATAATGTATTCTATGAGTAGTTTGATCAAGTCCTACAAAGAAAGTTTTTTTATTGATCAAACATTATTTTTGAATTTACACTTTGATTTATGATTTTATTTGGTTGATTTGAAAACTTTTTACGTGATTCTCATGTTCTATCTTTTGATTTCATAAATCTATTTTTATACACTATGTTTTTAAAATTGTGTAATGAGACACTTCTTTCATATTAACATATTTATATGTGTTCTCATTATCTTTTTTGTATGTGAGTTATGTTTAGCATGTTTTTAATCTATGTTTTCTCACATATGTATGCCTTAGCATTCATTTCATACATTCATGAGGTATTTTGATAGTGTTGGACCCTAGAGGAGGGGTGATTAGGGTCTTAAGGCTATAATTGTGTAATAAAATAAGTCAAGCAACACACCACAACAATGAACAACTAAAGTAAAGGAGATAGAGTTAGGAATCGTTATCCAAGTGACGCGCAATGTGTTAACGAGGTTCGGCCCGCTGATCTACGTCCCCACTCCCCACTCTCGAGGAGAATCCACTACACAACCCGGTTTGGAAGCCAGAACTTCTTCTACACAACGATCTCCATAAGATCTCATAACTACACAGTTGATCACCACAAGATCTAACTCCCACATAGTTGATCTCCACAAGATCAAGCTCATAACAGTAGTAATGATGTAAAAAATCTATCTTTATAATGTTCCTATGGCAAGGAGAAAGATTACACTAAAGCTGGGATGTAAACTTGAAGATAGAGAACAGATTTTAAAAGTTTAGGGCTCTTTTGAAAACAGTAAAACAAGTTTGCAGGATATTTCAAAAATAGACAAGAGCACTTGAAAGAAGAGGGGTATGAGAGTTTAAATAGGAAAAAGATCAGCTGCTAAAACCCATACCCAGATCCCCTAAAACCCGTAAGAAATGATCACGCAAATCTGTACTGAAAAGTTCTGTTGGATTAAGCGGCGGTCGACCGTGAAAATCTCGCGGTCGACCGCGAGCCACTTTCGAGGCTCAGAAAATTTCCAGAGACGGGGGGGGGGGGGGGGGGAGCCACTTTCGAGGCTCAGAAAATTTCCAGAGACTTTTGCGGTCGACCGTGACGGTCGACCGTGGGAATTTTCGAACTGACGATCAATCGTGATGGTCGACCGCGAAAGTTTATGCTGCCCACTCAGAAAAAGACACAGGCACGGTCGACCATGACGGTCGACCGCGAACTGATACATGCAGACACTGTTTTTAAAACCTATTTTTGACTCTTTAAAAATCTGTAAAAATATTTAAATAACTACCAAAAATTGTGTAACTTTGTAAATTATTTTTAACACTAAAAACAAATTATTTAGAAAGGGAATTTTGTGAATAGGTCCTCATACTTGTGAAAAATAATATTTTATCAAAACGCTCAAAAATATAAGTATGAAAACGTGTGTGTAATATCCCAATAGTTTCAAATAAAATCTATAACTACTTGCCTACATTTTAGCACTAGAGAGAAAAAAAACTAGCTAATATCCTCACATAGAATTACAATTCTTTGAGTCTTGATATAGTTTGAGTTGATGAAGCTTTGACTTGATTGTATTGTTCTTGATTAGCATTTGCTTCATCACTATGCCTCATCCTCCTTTGGATATCATCGTTGTAGCTCATATTCCATCCAATCCTCCATATGTGGTACTAACAAGCTTGATATATATATACTATATAATATATATTATATATATATATATATATATATATATATATATATATATATAACTAATATATATATATATATATAGGGTAGAGTGAGTGAGTATGAGTGGATGAGGGAAAGTGGATGGGGTATGCTTGGTAACCAACACAAATTGTTGTGCTTGGTAGGCTGAGTGGGTCACATCCCTAGTCGCACTCGAGCTGAGCCCATGCGGTGGAATTGTGAAGTTCCCAACATTTGAGAGTGCGAGTGCGAGGGAGATTGACACCTCACTACCAAGCACAACTTTTTGCTGCCTTGGTACCAAGCATACCCATTTCTCTCTCTCTCTCTCTCCTCTCTCTTATATATATATATATTATATATAAATATATACAAATAGGAGTGGGGGGTGAGGTAGAGTAGGGTAGTAGTAGGGTATATAAGGGGTGATAGGTAGTGATTAGGGGTATATAATATATATATATTATATATATATATATTAACTACAATATCACTCAACAAGCAATTAGTACCGATAATGGTGGTTGTAAAACATCATCAAAATATAAGGGCTAACAATCTCCCCCTTTTTGATAATGACAACCAACCATTATATAGGAGCAAAATAAATATAGCTTATAGATAGTAGCTCCTCTATCTATGAGCTCACCGTAACTATGTGCAACAAATGAGGAGATTTCTCTCCCCCTTTGTCACCATCAAAATGGGGTAAAGGAAATGGTAATAAAAAATACATATGAAATACAACTAACCAAGCAAGCAAATAGAACTTTTATATAGTATATAAACCCAAACCATTTCTTATGCGACAAAAATCGTCTTCACTAAGAGGCTTGGTAAAGATGTCCGCTAATTGAGATTTAGTGTCAATATAAACAATGGATACATCTTGCCTCGCTACATGATTGCGTAAGAAATGATGGCGCACATCAATATGCTTGGTCCTAGAATGCAAAACAGAATTTTTTAAAATATTTATAGCACTAGTGTTATCACAAAAGATTTTTATATTTTGATAATTCAAATCATAGTTGTTTTCGTCGAAAGTTGTTTTTGTCATGGAATTCATTATATCTTCAGTCGATTACAATAAATTCAAAAAGAGATAGCATTTTTATAAGACTTCTTTTACACAACAAAATAAAAATTACAACTCTTGGGAAACAAACGCAGGATCGTTATTTGGATCACTGCTTGCGTGGGATCTTTGCCTGTGCCGGGGGTGCGTTAGCCCGTGGACCACCAAATCACAGATTCTGATCGAATCGTGAGGGGTTTATGATTCTGACTTTGTTTATCGAAGTGAGAACTTGAAACGATATCTTATCAAGGTGAGATAGTCGTTCTTCTTGAAATCAAGTCAAAGCCTGAATATCAAGGAGTTACAGAAGCTCGAGTACTCTGCCCTCTCTGCTCTGAAATCAGCCTGTGGATGCTCTCTGATCAGCCTCCTCCATAAAAATGGCCTTCGGGGGATATTTATAACCTCCAAGAACAGTTGGCGAAAACAAGGCTCGCGAGACAGCATTTGCTGTCTCGGCTGTCGAGACAGTTCGGCCCGCGAGACAGTAAACGCTGTCTCGGAAACAGTAACTGTCAGGCAGTTTTCGTTTTAACTGCCTTCCCACGTTTCAAACTCCGTTATTTTAGCAGTTATCCCCCTGATTCTCGCCCACGACGTTTCCCACGTTCTTGAATAGTTAGTGGTCACGTGTAGGGCAGTTACAAAGGCGGTTTTAACCATCTGAAAGCTATCTCACGTGCGAGACAGTAAATTCTGTCTCGCACGGCGAGACAGTGAAAACTGTCTCGCGTGGGCGAGACAGTAAAAGTCTGTCTCGCCCGCGAGACAGTAAAGACTGTCTCGCCCAGCGAGACAGTCAAGTCTGTCTCGCGTGCGAGACAGTAAAGACTGTCTCGCGTGTGAGACAGTTTATACTTGTGTTCTTTTTGACATTTTGGATGACTTTCTTTTGAGATGTGTTTGGATATCTCTCAGCATTTTTTGACGCCTACAATAGTCAACTAAACTTTGTTTCATCCATAAAACTTAGGCACAATATAAGCCGGCGGTAATGTATTCCGCTTCCGTAGTAGACAAAGCAACACAATTTTATTTTTTAGAAGCCCAAGAGACAAGAGAATTACCCAAGAATTGACATGTACCACTCGTACTCTTGCGATCTACCTTACATCCGACAAAGTCGGCATCACAAAAACCTTAAAGATCAAAAGAGGTGCTTTTTGGATAAAATAAACCAAGATCAATTGTTCCATTGGCATATTTAATAATTCTTTTAACCGCAATTAAATGAGATGTTTTAGGAGAAGCTTGAAAACGTGCACATGCACACACACTAAACATGATATCGGGTCTACTAGCGGTGAGATAAAGAAGACTACCTATCATACCTCGGTATAGTTTTTGGTCCACATCATCACCACAATCATCCGCATCAAGCTTGACACTTGTACTCATGGGAGTTGGTGCATGCTTAGAGTTCTCCAAATTGAATTTCTTCACTAATTATCTAGCATACTTGCTTTGAGAAATGAATATCTCATCATTAGTTTGCTTGACTTGGAGCCCGAGAAAGAATATGAACTCTCCCATCATACTCATCTCAAAGTGATTTTGCATAACTTTAGAAAAATCTTTGTATAGAGATTCATTAGTAGCACCGAAAATGATATCATCAACATATATTTGAACTAAAATAAAATCATTTTTCCTTTTTCTCACAAAAAGAGTATTATTAATTTTTCCTTTAGAAAAACCATTTTTAAGAAGAAAACTAGAGAGGCGAGCATACCAAGCTCTAGGAGCTTGTTTCAACCCATATAAAGCTTTTGAACCCGGTAAACATGATTAGGAAATGCATGATCCACAAAGCCGGGGGGTTGCTCAACATATACTTCCTCTTCTATAAAACCATTTAGAAATGTACTTTTAACATCCATTTGAAATAATTTGAAATCTTTAAAGCTTGCAAATGCCAAAAACATCCTAATTGATTCTAACCTTGTAACTGGTGCAAAGGTTTCATCATAGTCTATACTCTCCTCTTGATTGTATCCTTGGGCAACCAAACGAGCTTTATTTCTTGTTACAATACCATGTTCATCAAGTTTGTTTCTAAAAATCTATTTTGTTCCAATTACACTAGCATTGTTAGGTCTAGGAACTAGTTTCCAAACATCATTTCTTTGAAAATTGTTTAGTTCATCATGCATAGCTAAAACCCAAAACTCATCCTAAGGCATTATTAATCTTTTTAGGTTCTATTTGAGATAAGAAGGTAACATTACTACACTCACTCAAAGCCTTTGAGCGAGTTAGAACCCTTTGTGAAGGATTCCCAATGATTTGCTCATTTGGATGATTTGGTGCAAATTTCCATGTTTTGGAGAGTTCTTCTTGTTCTTGCTCTTGAATGTTGTTTCTATCCCCATCCTTTTGAACATCTATTGAGGGTGTTTTATTTATTTGCAAAAGTTCCAATCCTCCCTCAACATCATCATCATCTTTCCTAGGCAAATCAACTTGTAAACCAATATTAGTCTCATCAAAAGTAACGTTTATAGATTCTTCAATAACAAGAGTGCGTTTGTTGAAGACCCTATAAGCTTTACTTCGAGGTGCATATCCTAGGAAAATGCCAACATTAATTTTAGAATTAAATTTATCATGGTGATCTTTTGTATTTAAGATAAAACATTTACAACCAAAGCTATGAAAATAACCAATAAATAGAGTTTTGCCATAAAATAGTTCATAAGGAGTTTTCTTAAGCTTAGGTCTAATCAAAACACGATTTAAAACATGGCAAGCCGTATTGACGGCTTTCGCCCAAAAATACTTAGGCAAATCAAAAGAATTTAACATAGTTCGTGCCATCTCTTGTATGGTATGATTTTTTCGTTCAACAACATCATTTTGTTGTGGTGTTCTTAAAACGGAAAACACATGAGTTATGCCACGATGTGCACAGAAATCATAGAAAAAATAATTTTGAAATTCACCACCATGATCACTTCTTATTTTAATAACTTTCAACTCTTTTTCATTTTTAATTCTTTTAACATGATTCGAAAACTCTTCAAAACATTCATCTTTACTTACAAGAAAAATTATCCATGTAAAACGAGAGAAATCATCAATGATAACAAAAACATAGTGTTTGCCTACAAGAGAGGTAACACGCATAGGACCAAATAAATCAAGATGAAGTAATTGCAAGGGTTTAGAAGTTGATACCTCATTGATGGATTTGAAGGTAGACTTAGTTTGTTTACCTTTAGTACAATCTTCACAAATGGTATCTTTGATGAAATACAAGTTTGGTAACCCTTTTACAAGATTCCTCTTGGACAATTTGGATATCAATTCCATGTTTGCATGTCCAAGCCTCTTATGCCAAATCCAAGGGTTTTTATCAACCACCGCAAGGCATTTGACATCTTGATCTAATAGATCATTCATCTCAAAAATGTATATATTAGATTTTCTATTAGCAATAAAAATAGTTTTTCCATTTGAGCTAACAATGCATTTGTCCGGTTTAAAGAAAATATCAAAACCCTTATCACTCAATTGGCTAATGCTAAGAAGATTATGATTCAAGCCACTAACCAAATAAACATATTCTATTACGGGAGAGGGTGTCTTACCAATGCATCCAATACCAATGATTTTACCTTTCTCATTGCCACCGAAGGAGACGCTACCTCCTTCAATCTTTGACAGGGTTACAAATAGCTCTTTGTTGCCCGTCATATGATGTGAGCAACTACTATCAAGGTATAACATCTCTCTACGTCGTGTTCTTTATATTCTCTACAAGAGATAAAGGTGTAGTAACTTTAGGTACCCAAATCTTGGGTCCTTGGTGGTTAGTAAGCTTGGTACCTTTGGGTACCCATGTCATTCTATAAAAATTATGATTATCTTTAATCCTACAATGAGTAGAAATATGACCATGTTTCATGTAATATGTGCACACAAAATTTCTCTTGTATGTAGGAGCATAAGATCTATGAAATCTATTTCTACCATGGTGATGATGACTAGCATAAGCATGAGTGGGTCTAATTCTACCACTCTCAATTTCAAGTCTTTTAATCTTGGATCTTAATTATTTGTTTTCAAAATCAAGATCCCCTAGCAATTCATCTTTTAAAGCAAGAGATGTTTATAGTTGTTCTAGTTTGGCATCACAAGAAGCATGTAATTTTTTAAAGGAAGAAAATTCTTTTAACATCCTTTTAAACTCAATGTTTAATTCTTCTAATGCGGTAGCTAGATCACATTACATGTAAAAGGATTCACTTTTAATGTCGAAAACTACCTCCTTTTCATAAGCCATAAAGTAAATGTTGGGATCATGAAGAGCAATCTTAGCTCCTTCTTCATTGCTATCCGAATCACTTAGTTCGGATTCCTCCCATCCGGCATACATGGCTTTCTTCTTCTTGTACTTCAAGTATTTCTCCTTGAGCTTGGGGCAATCTTTAGCGATATGACCCGATTCATTGCATTCAAAGCACTTTCCTACACGTGAAGAAAATTTGTTGTTAGATCGAGGATTAAACTTCTTGTTTATTTTAATGAGTCTAGAAATTCTTCTAGAGAGGTGAGCCACTTCTCTAGAAAAATCAACTTCACTATCCGATGATGATGAGGAGTTATCACTAGCTCCTTTGAGATTTATGGTCTTTATTTTTTGTGATGGCTCCTCAACTTCTCGTGGGAGCACTTCCTCCTTCTCCTTTCCCTTGAGCTTCTTCTCATAAACCTTAAGCTTACCGATTAGGCCATCGAGAGCTAGAGTGGTAAGGTCATGAGCTCCTCTATGGTCATAGCTTTGGGTTTCCATACTGGAGTTAATGAACGAATGGTCTTGTAGTTCGTCTCTTGGATAGTTAATTTCTTGTCAAGACCATGCAATTCATTGATTATGTTAGTAAAGCGAGAAAATATAGCATCAATGGATTTATTAGGAAGCATCTTAAATAACTCATATTCATGCATAAGTCCACTAATTTTGGATTCCTTAACTTGGGGGTTCCTTCATGTGTAATACACAATTTCACCCATATTTCATATGCGGTTGCACACGTAGAAACCCTATTATACTCATTGGGGGAAAGACTGCAAATTAAGGCGTTCATGGCCTTTGCATTGAGATTAGCTTGGTGTCTTTCTCCATCGGTCATGTTCTCGACTTTGGACTTTTCTACATATTTCTTCTCTATGAGTTCTAAAATGTCAAGATCAATACAACGAAGGTAAATCCTCATCCTAGCCTTCCAATAAGCAAAATTACTACCGGCGAAAAGTGATGGTCTAGTGGTGGATTGTCCCTCTAACATATGCACATTCATTGAAGCCTCCATAAGATCTTTTCTCTAAGGTGGTTAGACCAAAAACTAATATAAAGACCAAGCTTTGATACCAATTGTTAGACCCTAAAGGGGGGGGTGATTAGGGTTTTAAGACTATAATTGTGCAATAAAATAAGACAAGCAACACACCACAACAATGAACAACTAAAGTAAAGGGGATAGAGTTAGGAATCGTTATCCAAGTGACACGCGATGTGTTAACGAGGTTCGGCTTGCTGATCTATGTCCCTGCTCTCCACTCTCGAGGAGAATCCACTACACAACCCGGTTTGGAAGCCGGAACTTCTTCTACACAACGATCTCCACAAGATCTCATAACTACACAGTTGATCACCACAAGATCTAACTCCCACACAGTTGATCTCCACA